TTTGCATTCAAACCAACCCTATGAGCAGACACACACACACACACACACACACACACACACACACACACACACACACAGAGAGATCCACAGGTTTTATAACAGCAAACACACAGTAATTAAACAGGAGCACTTTGACATCAGGAGGCTCATCCGTCTGAACAGTCAGTCTGTGAGGCTGGAATACACACGCATCTCATCATCAGACAGCGATTGATGGCTTCACAGACCCCACGGCTCCTGCGCTTCAGCACAGAAAACGAGCAAAGATGTGATTCACTACATTCCCAAACACACACACACACACACACACACACACACACACACTCACACATGATGATGACTAGTGAGCAGTGATACCGGCTCTCCGCTCGCTCCACACAGGAACAAAAGCTTCTCCACGGAGTCGGTCGTCAGGGACATGCCACGTCGCGCTCACACCCCGTTACTCTGCTGGAACTTGGAAGGAAACGAGCATTTCTATAGCAACCAGTCACCATGGAACGATTTCTCCAAGGATACGGCGGGCTGGATGCTGGATGACGTCACATGCAGCACGTTTGATCAGACGTTACTGTGTGTGTGTGTGTGTGTGTGTCTCTCTCATGAACACACACGAGAACCACACGCTACACACGCAGCCTTTCCTGCAGTCTGGATACACACAGCACACATTCCCCATCATGACACCTGTCTCTCTCTCATGAGACCCACAATTCCCTCTGAGGTTCTTCTGTGTTGCAGCATCACACCAGTGTTATTTTACAGCGTTTATATTAAGTAACACTTTATTTTACGGTGTCCTTGTTACACATGTTACATGCACTTTAGTAATAACAATAAATTATGCATAATTGCATGCAACTAACCCTAAACCAAACCCTCATCCTAACCATATAGTAAGTACATGTAGTTACTTAATATTACTCAGTATTTAAATGTATAATACACTGTAACAAGGACACTGTAAAATAAAATGTAACCTTATATTTTATATACTGTAGCATTTTTTATGTTATTTTTGTATCACTGATATCCTATTATAGTTTTGGTTGTAGATTTAATTTCTCTATTCGTTATAATTTCTTACTAAAACTAAAATGATATTTTAATAATATCCAACTAAAACTAAATAACATTAGTTTTATTTTCATAGTTTTTATTGATTTTATTTCAGTTTGTTATTTTGGTGCATCTCATTAAACTAAATGAAAAATGTTTCCTTGGCAACTAGCTGAAATAAACTAAGTCTTTTATATTTTATTTCAGTTAATGTTTATTTTATTTAAAGTAATGATTTTTTTTTTTTTATGGTTTTAGTTCTAGTTTTAGTTAACGAGAATAGCCCAGATCAGTGGTTCTCTACTAGTGGGTTGTAGGTCTGATAAGAAAGGACAAAGCTAAAAACAACTCTAAATACACACATTTAATAATTTTATTAACAATTAAATACATAATTAAATAAATAAAAAGTATTATTTTTTAATAATTCTGTAATTTAATCTCCAGTTATTTATATTTGTTTTGCACTTACATTTATAGAAGTATACATTTCTTTAAATTATTTTTAAAAAATGATATATATTTTTAAAAATAGATATTCATAGTATGTGTATTATACATACATTGCTCTACTTTTTTTTTTTTAATTGGATACATTTATAAGTACACACAAGTATGCTATACATTATATACACAAATATATAAATATACATTTATTTCATGTATATGTATTTAATTAGATGAATGCATACTTGGTGTAATAAATGTAACAAAGTAATACATTTTAAATATATAAAAATTATTATATTATAATTAAAAATTATTAACTGGAATGATTATTAAAAATTAGTATTATTATTAATAATTACTAATTATTATAGTATAAATTAATATTTTAAGCATTAATTGCTTTAATTTACAACAACAACAACACCTACACACTAGAGAAAGCTCTGACAGACAGATTGACAAATATGAATCGGTATATTAATTTTAAGGCGTGGAATCAATTTAACATTTGATTTAGTTTACATTTTCCCCAACTTGGGTCAAATGGGTGTCAGTTCCACAAAACTGAAATTCGTAGCATTGTGTCGCATTGTAAGCTTTTGAATTTTTCAACCAAATCAGATAAATAAAAGCAGATCAGTGTCACAGTCAAACAAAAACTCAAATCCAGGACTAAACTAAAGCTGAAACCCTAAAGACGTCCCGTGGATTTACTCACTGTTGCGATTGCGAGGCTGTTAAATGACATGAAGTCTATCGGCAAAACACGTTTGAAAAACCACATTAAGAACTAATTACTCAGAATGACTGGTGAATGATTAGATAACTAACTAGTGAACATTTAATGAAACTCAGAGCGAGGAACCGAGTCTAGTGCAATTGGCCCACTAATGACTTGGACGCTCGGGTTAATTAGGTCATTATCAATCTGAGAAACGCTGAGAAAATCATTTTCGGCTTTCTTCATGTCGTGATGCAGCCACAAGCGGAAGACGTTTTGTGAATGTAGGCTTCCTCGACCGCTAACCATATAATGATGACAGAAATAGCTCGTGAATGGCAGGCCTTGGAGCGAGTGGCCAACTTTCTAATAACACAAGAGTTTTTAAAATCAAATTTAAGACTTAAGACTTAATTTTGCACAAAATCAATACTGCATGCCATTACAAAATAAATTATCTCAAATTATTTTACTTAATTAAACAGACTGCAGTACATTCAACTGCAAGTCTAAATACTCGTCATTTTTTATTCAATATTTACATAGGCATCACATTGGTTTATGTTCTCATATATCAATACACACGAAGTAGAGGTTCAGCAATATTCAATATTGATTTTACTTATATGATAAGTTTTTGAAGAAAGGCAAAAAAAAAAAACATTGTGGCAATACTAATAAAATCCATGTGTTAAATAATGTTCTTAGTCTTTCTTTCCCGTGACAGGGAGACCTAGAGAAAAGATATAAGAGTTTACATTGACTTAAATGCCAGATTCTATTTATCGTGTAACCAAAATACCAGTAATAACCAGTGAAAAAAATATTTTTAAACATAAATCAAGCCCAAAATACACCAGGACTCTTATTTTGAAATGTATATTCTCTACTACTTCCGGATGCTCATTCAAAAAGATGAGAAATATGGGTCACACACACACACACAATCACTTTATGCATTTTGAGGTACTTTTAAATTATAAACAATCCCAAAATACACCAGGACTCTTATTTTGAAATGTATATTCTCTACTACTTCCGGATGCTCATTCAAAAAGATGAGAAATATGGGTCACACACACACACACAATCACTTTATGCATTTTGAGGTACTTTTAAATTATAAACAATCCCAAAATACACCAGGACTCTTATTTTGAAATGTATATTCTCTACTACTTCCGGATGGTCATTCAAAAAGATGAGAAATATGGGTCACACACACACACACACAATCACTTTATGCATTTTGAGGTACTTTTAAATTATAAACAATCCCAAAATACACCAGGACTCTTATTTTGAAATGTATATTCTCTACTACTTCCGGATGCTCATTCAAAAAGATGAGAAATATGGGTCACACACACACACACACA